CAAATATTTATCACAACACCATATCTGTCAAACCCTAAGGTAAATTATTCCATAATCATGGAGAAATTCATCACAAATATAATTAAAGAATAAGGAAGCATCAATCTAACGTTACAATCCAAAGATTCCAAACTCCCGTATTGAATTGATGGGATGCTGATGAATCCTGAGTCTTGTCGCCTCCAATGCTCTCCAAAAGCTTCCAAGATCAAAAGTCCCTTCAAAAATGTCTTTTTAGTGTATTTACACCATGTAGGAATGAGTCCGGATGAATATATCCTTTCCAAGATGAAACAAGACAAATGCTCTGAGAAACTCACATAGGCCTACCGTGCTTCCCCATGCGCGGCATTAGTGGAGAAGTTTAGAGACCTATTTTTTTCACTTTGCAGGAATTTTTCACTAGCTCCCCACGCCCCGCTACACATGGCGCGGGGCGGTAGTGTAGTTTTCTCAGATTAATTTTGTTTTCTCACTTTTTAATATCCAGACTTGTTCCTCGACCCCCGAACTTGATCCCGATTTAATTCCTTGGGCTTTTACTCAGACTTCAAAGATCTTTACAACAACAACAACAACAATAACAACAACAACAACAACAACCCAGTAAAATCCCACTAGTGGGGTTTGGGGAGGGTAGAATGTATGCAGACCTTACGCCTACCTCAGAAGGGATAGATAGGTTGTTTCCGGGAGACCCTCAGCTCAAAGACAATAGATCTGTGACAACAAAACCCGAAAAATAATATCACCAACGTGAGAGATGGCAAATAAATGGAAAATCAGTAACACAAATATTATGCAAAAGTGTGAAACACAACATAAATCGCTAGCAGGGCTAGACAAAACACTATCATACTCGTCAGTACAAAGAGGGAAATCGGGACAAAGGGGAAAACGCTCGACTACCCTTAACCTACCACCCTAATGCTCGACCTCCACACCTTCCTTTTAAGAGCCATGTCCTCGGAAATCTGGAGCCGCGTCATGTCCTGTCTGATCACCTCGGCCCAATACTTCTTAGGCCGCCCTCTACCTCTTCTCATACCTGCCAAAGCCAACCGCTCACACCTCCTAACCAGAGCATCTAGGCTTCTCCTCTGCACGTGTCTGAACCATCTAAGCCGCGCTTCCCGCATCTTGTCGTCCACCAGCCACGCCCACCCTCTCCCGAATATCTTCATTCCTAATCTTATCTAGCCTAGTGTGCCCATACATCCATCTCAACATACTCATTTTTGCTACCTTCATCTTCTGAATATGTGAATTCTTGACTGGCCAACACTCAACCCCGTACAACATGGCCGGTCTAACCACCATTCTATAGAACTTACCTTTGAGTTTCGGTGGCACATTCTTGTCACACAGGACTCCAGACGCTAACCTCCATTTCATCTACCCCACCCAAATACGAACATCCCCGTCGATCTCCCCATCACCCTGGATAATTGACCCTAAATACTTAAACTTTCTTTCTTGAGGATGACCTGTGAGTCAAGCCTGACTTCCGCATCCGCTTCCCCTATCACGTCGCTGAAATTACATTCCACATATTCCGTCTTAGTCCTACTCAACTTGAAACCTTTAGACTCCAAGGCCTGCCTCCATACCTCCAGCCTCCCATTAACGCCGCATCGCGTCTCATCAATCGAAACTATATCATCAGCGAATAACATACACCATGGCACCTCTCCTTGGATATGGTGTGTCAGTGCATCTAGCGCCAGGGTAAATAAGAACTTGCTGAGCGCGGATCCTTGGTGTAACCCCATAACCACCGGGAAAAGCTCTGAGTCACCTAGACTTCAAAGCTCCTTATTGTTCGAATTAGTTCCAAATTATCTTTTTTACTCGAAATCCCTTCCTGTAGGGCATAACACACATAATAAGTGCAATACTCTAACATTTAAGCTTAAACACAAATAAAATACAGTAATTGGAGTGCAAACTACTACTAAAATATGTGATTCTAGCCTACCATCGTAAACCCAAGCGACAAATAGATTCACATTCAATTCATCTCCAAAATCACCATGAAACTACGGTGGCGCCACACGCTTCGTCCAAATAACGAAACCCACAAAAAGGAAAGAAAACACACTCACACTAATTAGAAACTTGTACACCAATGAGGTATAACTAGGTACCGAAATAATGAGTGTGTGAATTAAGAATTTGGGATATTATAGTAGTAAGTTTGTGGTGATGGCTTAAGAAAAGGCTCAGAAATATCACTAAACTTGGCAAAATGGCTTACATATACCACAGGGTGTGAGGGGAGGGGCTGATAAGTAATGGAGGATTTAAATAATGTGACTTGGCAAAATCTAGTACTAATTAGACAATTTGAGTTTCATTAGTGGGTAATGACACATATGGTCCAAAATGGTAGGGGCTAGGGTACACTCAAGACCAACTATTAATGAGTGACATATGTGAGGCTTTATCTTGAGTTCAATGGTATATTTGAACCTTTTTTAAAAAACTTTAATAACAATAATGTCCGAGTCAATTTAGGATGGTGCATCCTAAACACATATTCCTTTGTAAAATAACATGAGTGTTAGCCCCTTGACAAAGGTCCTCGGCAGGTGTGGGTTATGACAAGGATTTTCAGGATGGCCTTGGCACACAACCTGAAAATTTGGGCAACATCATGATGGGCTGCTCGGCATGATGAACTATGCGGGGTTGACAAACGCACCTTGAACGGAAGCAAGGCGCATTTTACTTGGACGTGCGGGTTGGCAAAACAATGGCAAGGCAAAGCCATTTCAAAACAGGGAAAAAGACATGGCAAGGCAAGGCAAGACAATGCGGGACAAGCAATGACAATTGATGCGGGCAGATTTAATCAAGTTGGGGGCGACTTGACAAAAGCGGGCAAGTGTGGCAATGAACGTGTGCGGCTAAGTCAGTGGTTGGCGAGCTGGGGCCATGATATGGGTGCGGAGCAGTGTCAAGGACAAGGCTGGGTGGAATTGCCAGCCTTGGGCACAAGGCAGCTGGGCGAAATAGGCACATGTTGTGCACATGCAGCATTTGAAAAAACATATGCAAAGCACATGGGAGGCAGTTGGCGGTTGCAACCTCTTCCAAGACATGTTGTTCATGGCCTAAAAAATGGGGGCACGTTTTTGTACTTGTCTTAACTTGTTTGCCCATCAGTTGGGGCTTGTCAACTAATTGTAGCCTTATAAATACTTGCCTAGGCTGTCCAAAACGGGGCAGAAAAACTTAGTCTAAGGCATTGTGAAGCCAAAATCGTCTAAGTCATTTCCTAAGGGTGGGAATATCATTTTGGGGCAGGGAATTAGGGAATTCTTTGTCTTGGCCATAGGGTTGGCTATTGTGTTCTTGTATTCACATATTAATACGAGTTGGGAAGAAATTTCTGTATATCGTGTGTGCCTTTATTTACTGTTTTTGCTGCCTATTTTCATTCTAAGTTAAAACGTTCCTAAAATAAAACTAAGTGTTGGAAAGGCTGAAGTCAAGGCTGGGCTTGACTGCCGCACGGAGGTGAACCTAGGGCAGAATTCGAGTGACATAAATCACCCATGTGACAATGAGAATGGTGCACACAGTTTAATGGTCCAGGTCTCATCTTCTATCGGTGTTACAGGGACCATTCATACACCAAAATATGCATAGAGATGTAGAGGTGTAGATTATCGAATAATTTCTCTAAAATTTGTTACTCTAAGGGTGTGTTTGGTATGAAGGAAAATATTTTTCGAAAAATGCTTTTTAATTTTTTCATATTTGGTTGGCTTAAATGTTTTGAAAAATATTTTATTCATGAACTCATTTTCCTCCAATTGGAGGAAAATATTTTCCTTATCAAAAGAAGGAAAAACATTTTCCAAAACTCTTTTTCAACATTCCCCATCCCCACCAACCTCCACTCACCCCATCCATCCCACCCCTAAACCACCCATATCCCCACCCACCCCAACCCTTACCCCATCACACTCCAATCTAACCCACCACCCACCCTAAATAAAAGTATTATTAAGAGTACTTTTTTCGTGTTATAAATAGAGTATTTTTTTTTTATTTCAAAAAAATGAGTATATCTTTTCATGATGTTGAAAAAGTATTTTCTTTCATTTCAACAAAATAAGTACTTTCTTTTTCGGTACGTCGGAAAAGTATTTTCTCTTATTTCAACAAAACGAATATTTTCTTTTCATGAAGTACAAAAAATATTTTCTTTCATTTCAACAATCTAAGTATTTTCTTTTCCTAAAAAGAAAAAGTATTTTTTTTCAATAAATTCGTGATGTAGAAAAATATTTTCTTTCAGTTCAACAAAATGACAACTTTCTTTTCATGATGTACATTTCAACAAACTGAGTATTTTTTTTTCATGATTGACAAAAAGTATTTTTTTTCATTTTAACAAAACGAGTACTGCTTTTCATGATGTAGAAAAAGTATTTTCTTTCATTTCAACAAATTGAGTATTTTCTTTTTATGATGTACAAAAAGTATTTTCTTTCATTCAATAAATGAGTAATTTTTTTCATGTTGTAAAACGGATACTTTCTTTTTCTACAAAAAGAAGTATTTTCTTTTTAGTTATCGAGCCCGAATTTCAACATTGTTCTTGCGTAAAAAAGTAAAGCAGCACATTAATTTCTTTGGATTTGCATGAATTTTGAAAAGAATAATTAAATTCTTGAAGAAAATTGAGTCCCGAAGGAGGGGGGAGGAGTATAGGAAACATGAAGATTTTGGGGAAGGTGGGTCGAGGAGAGTAGCATAAAAAATTATTTCCTAAAAATATTTTATACTTTCTAACCAAACACTATATATATATATATATATATACTTATTTTCCATGAAAACATTTCGGCAAACTCCAAAAATCAGCTTCTCAAAAATCAAACGTTTTGTTTTCTTTTCTAAAAAGTGCTTTTAATTAACTAATTGTCCTAAAATTAAAAAATCATTTTCAGTGGACCTCTGTCGTTGACACATGATTCTGATTTCCAGCTGTTGGGACTTGTCACTTGTTGCGTCTCAGGTGTTTGCAGACATTCTTACAATTGGAGTATATATTTACGCAAGCTCCTTTACCTTTAGGTCAATTAGTACGTCCATGGAGAAACCTCTGGATCCAACACTTTCATCTTCATCAAATCAAGTATTCTTGAGTTTTAGAGCAGACGACTCTTGCTGCATGTCTTTCACTGATCACCTTTACACTGCCTTAGTTCAAGCTGGGTTTCAAACATTCAAACAGGACACTGACACAAGAAAAGAACAACTCCACAACGCAATCCGAGAATCGAAAGTTTCGGTGATTGTCCTGTCCGAAGGTTATGCCTTTTCTCAATCATGTCTTGATCAGCTGGATGTGATTCTGACATGTAAGGAGAAATTGGATCGGGCAATTCTACCCGTGTTCTACTATGTGGATCCTTCTGATGTTAGGAAGAAGAAGGGAAGGATTGGGGAAGCAATAGCATCGCATGAACAAGAATTGAAATGGGAAAGCAGTGGAAGGGAAAGGGTAGAAAGATGGAAGAAGGCACTTGCTAAAGTTGCTGACTTGGGGGGAATGGTCTTACACAATCAAGCTCGTGGGTAATTATATATATATTTCTCCCCTTTTAGTCCATTTTTATGTCTCTTTATCTTCTTCTTCCTCAATTTTCTTTTTCCTTGTAAAGACCCTTTGACAAGAAAAAAAAAGGGAAACAAGAACAGTTCCCACTGCCTTGAAAGCGATTTCGGCCCGAGGTTTCACAGCACCTCCAAACACGTGCACTCGTGGCTGGAAGTTTGGAATTTGCACAAAACAATTGTCCAGAATTCGGTTGAAGAAGAAGAGAGATGAATGTGTTTTTTTCTGTGTTTGAAAACTTCACAAAACAGTAGAGCTGTTACAAGAAGGAGAATTTAATTTGGGGGTTATGAAATAAGGATGAATAAGAATCCTAGCAAACGTGATATAAGTTCTGAAATTGCAGTTAACAGAATAACAAAAACTTGATTAAAAGAAATCAAAAGGAGAAAAGGTGGAAGAATAATAGTAGCAGTTAATTGTCCCACATTGGTTGTGGGAATGAGTTGTTACCACTTTATATGGTCTTGGGAAATCTCACCCGATGCACTAGCTTTTAGGGTTGAATTAGGTCCAACGTTCATTTTCATTTTCCGAGGGGGTGTTAAGTGTCCCATCTTGGTTGAGGGAATAACTTGTTATCTCCTTGTTGGCAGTTCAGTTATATCTTACATTCTTATCTCGTTTTCTTAAATTACAGGCCTGAGTCAAAATTTATTCGAAAGATTGTTAATGTGGTCACAAATAGACTAAGTCGAACAGCTTTGTATGTTGCACCTTACCTAATCGGCATTGATCGCCGGGCTAAGCATATTAGCTTTTGGCTGCAAAATGGATCGGCTGACGTTGGCATATTGATGGTTTACGGCATGGGCGGTATAGGGAAGACGACTCTGGCCAAGTTCATCTACAATTCAAACTTTCATGCTTTTGAAGGTAGCAGCTTTGTGCTTAACATAAGAGAAATTTCAAAGCAACCTAACGGTTTAGTTAAATTGCAAAAGCAAATACTTTCTGACATTCTAAAAAGGGCAAAGGAACGAGTATCATGCGTTGATGAAGGAATTGTTAAGATTTCAGATGCCTTAAGTGGCAAAAGAGTCCTACTTGTTCTTGATGATGTGGATGATTCTGATCAACTAAATGCAGTATTGGGGATGAAAAGTTTATTTTACTCAGGAAGTAAAATCATCATAACAACCCGACATGAGCGAATTCTAAATCCTCACCTAGTTGATAAGGTGTATACCGTTGAGAAACTGGGCACGGACGAATCCTTAGAGCTCTTCAGTTGGCATGCCTTTGGAAAACCACATCCTGTGGAAGGTTTTCTTGTGGGTTCAAATGAAGTAGTGAAACGGTGTGGAGGAATTCCACTTGCACTAAGAGTTTTGGGTTCTTCCCTGGCAGGACAAAATTTGGATGTATGGCAAAGTACAATAAAGAAGTTGCAAGTTGTTCCTAATAATCGGATTATTGAACTGCTCAAAATCAGTTATGAATCTCTAGAAGATGATGATAGGAGTTTATTCCTTCATATTGCCTGTTTCTTTCTCTGGGAGGATAAAGATTTTGCTGTCAAAATACTGGATAAATGTGAACTTTTCACTATAGTGGGGATCCAAAACCTCATTGATAGAGATCTCTTGTCAATACCAAATGGTAGGCTCGTCATGCATCAACTGATTCAAGATCTGGGAAGAGAAATTGTTCGTCAAGAATCTGTTAAGGAGCCAGAGAGGCGTAGTAGACTGTGGCGTCATGAAGAATCTTTGTACGTATTGAGAAACAAAACGGTAAGCAACTTAATCACTTTAGGTTTTTTCCTTTAATCCATGCATGCACTTTTTCTCTTACATGTCTGTCTCCTATTTTATTAGGGAACTGAAGCAATTGAAGGCATCATTCTCGACGGAAATATGCGTAAGGGGCAAGAATCAACCAGGATAACATCTAATGAAAATTATGGCAAAAAAAGTAAAGTAAAAGAATTTATGAATAATTCTCAGGAAGATCGACCAAAGCGGAATTGGATGTCCATTTTCTCTCGTCATATCATGGGCACAAGGGAAGTTCCAAATGAGGATTTGGAAACTGACTCATTCACAAACATGCACAAGTTGAAATTTCTGTTGCTTAGCAATATACAACTTTCTGGATGTTACAGCAAATTTCCCAAGAAATTAAGATGGTTGTTTTGGCGTTATCTCCAGTTAGAATCCCTACCAAGCGACTTTCCGATGGGAAAACTTGTTGCTATAGACCTTTGTTACAGCAGCTTGAAACAACTTTGGACAGCACCAAAGGTACTTTGTCCATGCCCTTTGTCATTATCTGCTTGTAAGTATTTATCATCAGTTGCATCCAGCATTATTTTAAGTGATCAGTTGCATCTAACATATCTTTTCGTTTCTCTTGTTCGTTTGACTAGTTACTCAGATGGTTAAAATTTCTCAATCTCAGCCACTCTTATCAGCTTAGAAGAACTCCTGATTTTTCATTACTTCCCAACCTTGAACAATTAATCCTCGAATATTGTACAAGTCTAACTGAGGTGGATGACACTATTGCATATCTGGAAGGACTCACTGTTTTAAGCCTTAATGGTTGTATAAACTTGAGGAGCATTTCAGAAAGTGTTTGCATGTTAACACATCTTGAGACCCTTGATATTTCTGGTTGCTCGAATCTTGAATATGTCGCCCTGAAGCTTGAAAAGTCGGATTTTCCAAGTGAGCTTTCAGATGAAAGTGGAAGAAACCAAATAGATAGTACCAAGCTAGTAAGACCATGGCATACAATCTTGTGGTCTTTGCTGAGGAAGGAGAAAGTATGTCATAGAGTTTCACCAATCAGTTTTCCGACTTCTCTAGTTACTCTAAGACTTTCTGACTGCAATCTGGGTGATAATGCATTTCTCCATGTTGATTTTAGTAAGCTCAATTTGCTGAAAGAATTGAGTTTGAGCCGAAATCCACTTTGCCATCCCCCAGAGAGCATTAGATATCTTAGCAGGCTCGAAAATCTTTCACTAAATTCGTGTACAAGGCTAAAATCAGTACTCGAGCTGCCAAATGGTGTTGAGATTGTTGATACAACTGACTGTATATCCTTGGAGAAAGTATCAGGTGCACCTAGCTCATGCAGCATTCTGTACATAAATTGTGCCAATCTGGTTGAGATGAGCTCTAATTTCAAGTTAGAACATCTTGAAAATGTCAATGCAGAAATTCTTGGCTATTTGGGTTTGTCAAACTTGGAGTTGATTAGAAATGTTACTTTTAGATTAAGATTTGACATTCAGAAATTGCATACTGACGAAATGGAATTTCCAGAGTTTGTCCAAAATGACATGGCAAAATTACAATCTCTCCCACCTAAGAAGCTTCCCGCTCAGGTGCATCTTTCTGGTTTTGTGTAAAATGAGGCATATATATTATATGCTCAACTGATTGTGCATCTGCTTAACATTTGATGATTTTCATGTCTCAGGGATATTACTGCAATGGCGTCTTCTCCACATTCCTATCGGGTGAACACGTGCCAAGTTGCTTTGATACGAAGTTGAGTGAGCCTTTCTGTTCATCGTTCATCGTTCCTACTCCTGATAATCATAGAATTCGAGGCTTGAGTTTTTGCTTGGTGTATACATGCTTGGAGAGTGAAGAAATGGTAAGTGAGGGCCATTGCCTGTCCATTACAATTAATAATTTGTCGCAAAAGATCAAGTGGAAGCAAGACCCTATATTTCTAGCTATTCCTGAAGTTGAAGAACGGATGATGTGGCTAAGTTATTGGGAAATTGGCAACTCGTTGCAAACAGGCGATGTTGTAGAGATTTCAGCCAGTGTTGGAGATAAACAACGTTTCAGTATCAACGAGGTTGGAATGAGGATTATATTCCTGGAAGAACAACAAGACCAGGACAAAGAATCTAATTGTGAAGTTGAAGAGTTTTTTTCTAGTCCATGTCATCAGAGTTTGCTCCTTGTCAGAGTCTTCCCAATGTGATAAAAGGTAGTTATTAAGATGGTAGAATAAATTGTTGGCATATGAATCGGAGTTCTTGCTCAGGTCTTAATTGTTGTTTCTATTACACTTAATGTTAAAGGATAGAGTCCTCTGTCTTCATTGGATAGTACAAGGGGAACATAGTTTTTTTTCCTCATCCCGTCTACATGATTTTCTTTTTTTAAGCAAAAATTTCTTTGTAACTTAATATCATGTCGGCCTGGGACATCCTGCTATGTTTCTTTTCAGTCATCGTGGTCAACACCTTGTACAGGAAGTGAATTTTAAAGCGGTAATTTCATTTACTGAGCTCTATGGAGATTCTTGTATCGAATCATATAGTATGCAAGGTTAATTTGTCACGTCAAATGCATCTTTACGTGTTCTCAGGAAGAAAAAAAACAAGAACGAAGACTAGGGGAATCCTACATTACTAATGCAGCTGTCAGAGTGGGGAAATGTTGGCGTGAATCTTCAGAAGATATGAACCTTCCAGTGGTTTGCCTAAATAGGTAAGATTACTTCCTGGTGAGAGTAGCAACTTTTCGATATGCACCAACATATGTAGTGCTTGTTATGTTCCTGTTCTTGTATGTTTGGTCATTTCATCTTCTTTGTAGCTTGTACTGGAATTTTTATTTCCATTCTTGACCGTTTCCTTAGATTCTGTCAGTCACGTAGGACTGTTGTCATGCATTTAGCCAAAGGCAAACTCAAGATTTTAGGTCAGTGAGTGCAGAGTACAACAGACAAACTACTCCTTTGTGACAATGTGTGCAGCTATATATATATATATATATATATATATATATATATATATATATATATATATATATATATATATATATATATATATACGGAAAATGGCCAAATATAGCCATGTACTATGAGAAAAGGTTTAAATATACCCCTCGTTATACTTTGGGTCCAAATATACCCCTGTCGTAATACTATTGGTTCAAATATATCCTTCTTCCGTTAAGTTTGTCCAAGGTGGACACCAAATCCTACGTGGCACTAATATTTGATGAGGTGGATGCCACATGGCATGCTACCTCAGCTCCCCTAACCCATTTTACCCCTCCCCTCTATTTGTTTTTCTACCCTCTATGTGGTAATGGTGACGGAGGGGAAGGAAATTTTAGTGGTGGAATCAAAGCTGAAAACCAATTCGATTTCACCCCCAAAGCTCACAAACGGTGTCTTAGACGTCCAGCACTCTGAACATCTTCTCCAGTGATAACCTTCTGTATTTAGCTACCATTTCAGGGAACAAGAACAGAGTCAATGCACCATCTTTAGTTATCTCCGAGAAGCACGATTCTCTTATGTTGTCGGAGGCTGAGAAGACATAGTCACAAAGAATCTTCTCGTCGTGAAACAGAGTAGTAACTGCAATCTTCACAGCAGTCAACCAATTCTTGATTTTTATCTCCAGTAATTTCCAATCCATTTTCTGAATATGTGAAGAGCTCAACTTTTCAATTCCCAAGTAATACAAAGTCTCATCGACGACTGATTTTCGATTGGGTTGATAAATTTTCACGCACTCTCTTCCATAACCAGCTGCAATCATACAATCAGCAATGGATTTCAAGTCCATTTTACCCATCGATATACTTTTCTATTTGTTTTATTACCGTCTATGTAGCAATGGTGGTGGTGGAGAAGGAAATTTTAATGTTGGAAAAATAAATAGAGGGGAGGGGTGAAATGGATTAGGGGGGCTGAGGTGGTATGCCATGTGGCATCTACCTCATCAAATATTAGTGCCACGTAGGATTTGATGTCCACCTTGGACAAACTTAACGGAAGAGGGTATATTTGAAGCAATAGTATCACGGTAGGGGTATATTTGGATCCAAAGTGTAACGAAGGATATATTTAAACATTTTCTCGTAGTACATGGGTATATTTGGCCCTTTTCCGATATATATATATATATATATATATATATATATATATATATATATATTCAATCTTTTTCTATTTTAGAGTTTGATGGTGTAAGGTACATATGCGCCTGCATATGGAACGTTGAATTTGTTCTCTTAAAATTCCTTATCAATCAATTGAACCCCTAATTAATCATCCTTTTGGCATAATCTTAATCATCCTTCTTCCACCGTGTAGATCAGAAGTACCATACCCTCGGTTGGGTTTTTCTGCACATTCGCAAATTATCCTGGCTGCATCCAGTGTTTACTTCTAGTCCCCTTCATGAAAAACATTATCTTTCTATCCTTATAAAAGATGTGGACATATCTTAAATCTTTTTGCAGAACGATGTCAGATGGAGCTCTTTTGCAGCATCAACACCAGATAACAGCTTCTGTTGAAGGGCCTTATGGCCACGAGTCAACTACTTAATGATGGAATTTAGTTGAGTGATTCAAAATTTAATATGCCTATTGTTGAAAAGTCACAATATTTTCATATGTCCAATCTTTTAGGAGACATCTACTCATTAATTGAAGAGCATCCAACATTTGTAAAAGGACATATCTATTCACAAAAGGCGCAATAGTTATCTTTTTGCTCTCTATAACTCCTTGATTCAATTGGAGAATTAACACGAAGAAATCTTCATTTGTCATTATTCCAGAGTCAGTTTCCTTCATTATTCTGATTCCTACAAAAGTAGTTGGGAGATTTAAGAGTTCTCTGGAACTTCTATTTGAGTGCACATTTGAAGATTGTTGAGTGGTTCGTTGTGTCTTGGGTGTAGCACGCCACTTTACTATATGCACCTAGGCAGGGGCGAAGCTACACCCTATCAAGGGTGGTCAATTGGCCATCCTTCGTCATTATTTTTTGTATATAAGTAAAATATTAGGTTTTAGAGGTATATAACATATATTGAACAACTTTTATTAGGGAATTTTTTTTACTTCTTTCAAATTTAAATATCTTTGGGAAAATTTTTTGACTTCGCCACTGCACCTAGGTAGCAACGGAAATCTACTCTGAAGTTAGTGCATTCCATAGAGTGCATGGAACAGATTTTTCATATCCAAAATTATTGATAGTTAACAATTGTGTCTTGTTGTTCATTAAATATTCTTGTTTACCATCTCTAATATTTTCAAACTCTTAAAGTACGTCCTTGTTATAATCCGTTCACTACTCAATTCTCCTCGATTTATTTCTTAATAAGTCATTGGTTGAACTATTGGCTTGACCATGTTTGTTTTGAGGTATGCAAATCTCATTTTGATGATGGATGGCATAGAGACAGACCAGAAATGTTGAGTAATATCTTCCACCTGTTTAATGATATCAAGCCTCGTCTGCCTGGACTTATTCTGGTAGTTGTGGCTTGTGAAGAAAAAAAATAGAGCTTTCACTTTATGAAACAGTGCACATGTAGGCAATCTGTCCTTTTCTCCCTGATGAACTGTATCTTGAGAATCACATCCTTCACTGGTCGGCACTATTTTCCCATTTTTAAATCGTTATGAATCTGTACTCATAAGTTAACATCATCCTGTTTGTTTACAGTTGCTGAATTAATACTTATTTTCTGCACCAGGGTAGCAAACTATAAATTTGTTAATAGAACAGTGGACAGATTCTTGGGTAAGGAAAGGTAAAGGTTGTTGGTTTGATCAGATATAGATGCCTAACTTCAGAATTAGGCAAGACAAAGTAAGCAACTTCAGATCCTGATATGGAAATTCCAAAATATTATAGTGTACCACATTCAGTAAAGTAGAGGACAGATTCATCCTTACTTTCAGGGGGTTCCCCCTTTGGATACACATTATTTTATTATGCTGAAGTGACAGATTGAGCTAGTTCATAGAATATACTCCGTATAAATTAATTACAGTTAGTGATAAAAGTGTATGAAAGAGTGCAATGTATTTATTATTTTGATGTAAATCTTGGGTGTGAAAAAGACGTTTTCTCTTTACTATGCAGACCATAATCTTTATTAAAGAGAAAGATGAGAAGTCCATTTCTCGTTTAGGTATTGAGCTGGTGAGTCACCTTCTCCCTTTATTTGTACATTTACCCTTTTGGTTATTTATAAACGCCATGTGATTATCTACAGAAAAAAAAAAAATTCAACACCAATCCTAATTAGTCTTGGAACCTTATAAGACAAAAGCGCATATGAAGATCCATTCCATAACAATTTTTTTTACTCACATTCGATACTAATACTTGTTTAACCTTAAAAGTGTATAACAATTGAATTTATACGCGGTTTTAAGGATATGTGGACTAATTCAATAGTAATTAATGACGTTAGATAAGCGAATAAAAATTAGAATAAACAGCCAAACCAGTAATGATACTGAATTCGGGGTCCGTTAAAGGCTTAACAAGAAGCTCGCCTTCGGTTCCGAACCAATGCTTACGAAGAACTTACGAACCAAAACAAAATTAGAATAAACAGCCAAACCAGTAATGATACTGAATCCGGGGTCCGTTAAAGGCTTAACAAGAAGCTCGCCTTCGGTTCCGAACCAATGCTTACGAACAACTTACGAACCAAAACAAGAACTTTGAACAACTTTTAGAAACAGAGAAAAATAAATGTATATTGCCTTGGTATGTGTGTTACAACGTCCCTCCTTAATAATAAACCTCCCCTTTATATAGTAGAGGAGTTTTATCCTAAGTACAATCCTAAGAAAGGTAAAAATCTTCTTTTTTGCCAATCACCGATATGCCACTGATATAAGCCGAGATCTACGCCATGATATCCGGTTGGGCACGGATTTCACGACCCTTTGTTAGTCGTGTGAGATTGTTTGGTAACGCTTTCCGCATCCTCGTTATTCGAATCAGGTCCGGGGGCATGGTCTCGATGGCTCTAGGGCACGTGTTCAACCCGGTCTTTGATACGGCCGGCTCCCTGTTTCGATTCCGATTCCATGCAGTTAGGCCCTCACTTTGTTCGCCCCACCGGGGAAATCAGGGTGTTCATTACCCCCGATTTTACCAGTATATATATAGTCCCCTTGTATCTCAAAGAGTAGGTTTGCCAAAACGATGAGAAACGATAGATATTCTCCCGTTCTTTCTTCCGTACGCTATAATAGAAACGATGAAGAAGCCGAAACGTCCCGTCAGTCGCGTTGTTCTGACTTCGAACACGTGTCAGCTATCGGCTGGTTGCCTTCGAATGCGAAGAGATGCAATTTTTTTCTATAAAAGCTTCTATCCCTTGTTCTTTTCCTACTTTCCGACCAACCTTCTACCCTGGAACCTTCAAGAAATCATCAACTTTCTTCAGATTTTCACATCTTCATCCTTACTCTTGAAACTTCCATAGTAATTTCCAGGTTTTTACCCAGATTTTCCTCAATTCAGTATATTCAATTTTTCATCCTCCAAACCTATTACTTGTTCTTCAAACTTTCAAATCTTTTCACATAGAAATGGATAAAACTTTTAATCAGTTCCCCAACAAGTTGCCTCCTGATCGCTGCCAACTCCACACTACTATAAAGTAGGAAGAGAGGGTCGCAATAGCTTTTACCCGATATGAGGATCGGGATCGAATTCCTCAGAGAACTAGAAATTGGAGTTGGGTATCTATCTAGACTAGAGTCGTGTAATTGTTCTAAATGTCACTTCCAACATTTTTGGGTTTTTCAATTATAAACTACTATTATCAAACTACTAATTGAAACTAGATTATGCTACGAGATAATTTCTAAAGTTGTATCTAATGGGAAGAAGGGCACTAGGGTCGTGACATCACCTAGGTGGCTAATTGACGGGTAGATGTTACTAAGGTTCGATTGACATAATTGGGGCTTATGCTATAACCGCTGCACAATTTACCCACTCTCACACATCTCGGTAGAGAGAGTGATATTGCCCCACTTGACTCTCTCGAGACCAAATGGGTAGGCAAATTAGACCAAGCAACTAGGGTTCAAGTAGGGTGATTACTCTCTCGAGATTTAACCCGTTAATTGGGACTATCATTTCTCATGAGTCCATCCCAATTCCTTGTCGGGTCAATTTTGGAGACTTAGACTCTCTTTCTCAAGAAGAGTCGAATCCACAAAGCACAAATCAGTGTTTGCAACCACCAATTTACAGATTAAAACATAAATTCAACCCAAATAGCAAACACCCATAGTCAATCTAACCCTAGATGGCAACACCCATCAATTACCCACACTAGGGTTGAGCCACAACCCTAGCTAATGGGTTTAGCTACTCATGCTTGAAGGAGAAAATGAAGAAATAGATGAAGAACAAGACATATTAATTAAATACTAAATTAAAGTACAAGTATCTATCGTTAAATTGAAGCTAAGATGCCAAAAATGGCTACAAAAGTTGTTCTCGCGAGGGCAGCTGTGTTTTCAAGATAACAGATGACCTAAAAATGGTAAAATGTTCTATTTATACTAAGCTGGAAAAACTGGACAAAAATACCCATGCGGGGTCAGTGCGGGCCGCACTAAATGGACCGCGGCCGCACTGGGCTCCTTGACTTCAACTTTGGCTTCTCTGAACTTGGACTCCGCGGACCGCGTAGAATGGACCGCGGCCGCGGAGGGAGCTGGCGCGGTCCGCACAATAACGACCGCGGACCGCATGGCATTGTCTTGGCAAAATTGTAGTTCCCTGAATCTCTTCACCGCGGACCACACAAAAGAGTAGTTCGGCCGCGGAGCCCTGATCGCGGACCGCGAGATATGCACCGCGGCCGCGTTGCCTCTAGCTTGATTTTACCAACTCTCTGAACCACCTAGTGCGGCCGCATTCCACTTTGCGCGGTCCGCACTAGGCCCTTCTTCCCTTAGCTTTCTTGGTCTTTGATACTTGAGCAGGTTTCACTCCTTTTTGAGCCGATCTTTGACATTTCGTCACTTTGTCGATCAAACCTGCAAACAAGCACAACCTGTGAGCCTTTTGGGACTATTTTGTACAAATATATGATCAAAGCATAGGCAAGTAGGGGCATAAAACATGTTAAAATCCTAACTTATCAACTCCCCCAAACTTAAACCTTTGCTTGTCCTCAAGCAAACAAAATAAGATCCACCCCTTAAAGGAAAGTCCAAGTATTTTCAGCTATCCTAAAGTATCCTCAACAAGCATCAATTGGGACTAACAATTGCCCCCAATACGAATGAATCATTACAACTTTTAACCTTTGAAAAACGATGGATCAAGTGTGACACAAGAGCATCAAGAGTTGACTCAACACATCAACGAACTCTTTCACTTACTTTGGTCATTGTGGAACCTAAACTCACACATCCTCAACTATCCCTAGGCAAACCTCACCTTTTTAGAGTATTGACACACAAATCGAAGTTAATGGGAATTCACTCATCTCTCTCAAGAAAAGGTCGCAAGTCCGGCTCTAAGTACCATATGCTTGCCCCTTATGTAAGTATCCACTAATGTAAGCTTCATTCGGCTCAAGATCATAGAGGGCTTTTGTGGAGTCATTGTGAAGGCTTTTGGGTGAGGGTAGGACATGTTTTTTTTGTTCAAGTGGGTTCAATCTACCCTTAAGCACTTCTTTTGATTCATTTGGCACAATTCACTTGACTCTTTGAGTCATTTCACCTCCTCCAAGGGGTTAGAGAGACATATTGTCACTCTTTCTTATGCATTACAATTCTTTTCTCCTTTTTCAATTTTTCCACACCTTTCTTTCTTTTACTTTTCTTGAATCCCTTCTATTCTTTCTCACTTTGAGCATTCTTTTGTCTTTTTGCTTCTCTTTCTTTTTCATTGCCTTTCCTTTTCTTCATTTTTTGTGCCTCATACCACTTTGTTGTTATCCTCGTCTCTCCCCCAAACTTATGCTTTTGCCATGTGCTCAAGGAAAGATAGGGTGCCAAGAGAGGGTATCTTTTAGAACAGGTATAGGCTTGTAACATGGTTCTTGAAAGAAAAAGGTCTAAGGCTCAAAAGGGTTAACTAGGGATCATGTCATTGGTAGGCTATGGAATTTGTTCAACTATCATTTGGATCAAGGAGGGGCTATAATCACTTCTCAAGTCAAATTTCACTTAGGATTTCGCCTCAACGAACATTCAGGGCAAGTTCTAGACCAATGGCTCGGGACTTGGACTCGCAATTCGATTTCTCACCACACAAGCTAAGGGATTGCTAAAGACATCGAGTCGGGAGCCCACAACGACCTTAGATATGATTTGAGCACACAATGGTCCCGAAAGGAACACTTGATGATTATTGGCCAACGCAAGAGTCTCAAGGCCACGACTTTCACCATCCTAAACACAACATTCTGTCTTTGACCATGGGATCAAAGTCAAATGTGCTAGGCCCAAGTGAAGCTTTGTTTGAGGTACTTTTAACCATAAACTACCAAAAACAAAAACAAAAACGGACTCAAAACCTTAAGAAGGTTGTCACGCCATCTATCATTGGGAAGAGCCACCCGGTTCACACAATACTCCACCTTTGAAAAGAACTGTGGCATTAAGAAAACCAAAGGCTTATTAAAAACGTCAAAACTAAACAAAAATCTACGAGCCTATATAAGAAGCTAAAAATGAATTTTTTTTACGAAAAATAGAAAATAGAATGAATATGTACAAACAGGGAATGAATATACAACGGGGGATGAATATATACAATGATGTAACTTCATATACATACCCAAAAAGAAGATAAAAAGTACGATGAAAGCAACTAAATGTAAAGTTATATACAGACCAACAGAAAATCAAAAGAAAGCATAAAATATTAATATTTACAGTCATCCAAACATGAAGGGCGCACCCCCTCGAATAAAAGCTGGCATTGTCCCCAATGCCAACTAACAAAATAAGCATCAAAAAGTATAGGGAGAGGATATGAAGACTCCCTAAGCCGTGTCCGTCTGCATGGGATCAACTGTGGTCCCTGGGTCCTCTGTATGCGCGGGAACCTCAGACTGGTTCCCGGTCTCCTGCTGCT